GTTTCACACCTAAAGCTGCAACAGCCCAACTCAAATAGATATTCTAATTGGCAGCGACCTTATACAGCAAATAATGCTTGAAGGTGTTGAAAAAATCTCAACCACCCTTCTAGCCCAAAACCCTATATTTGGTTGGATACTAAGTGGACAAGTTACAAAACAGTTAGTAATTTACTACATTTCTACCATTACTGAACTTAATCGAAGCAGTTCTCAATTCACGGTCGGACTCAATGTCCGCTCGCATTGATCCCTGCTATTCACACATTCCTAAATGCCCTGAAGATGTTTTCAAAGAGTACCCTTCTGTCAGCTTGAGTCCATATAATTAATAAGCCGATAAATGAAATTGTACATAATATCTTTCTTTCGATTCGCTAAGCGTTCTCTCAGTGAATTAAACAACCTTGACCAGTGCTCAAGAAGGGCAGCATTTCAAGGTGCAACCCTGCGCTAACGATGATTTGTTAACGCATGCAGCAATATTGTTAGGATTCTATTTTCAATAGGAAATTATTTTTTGGCGTTTAAAACCGTTGCTGTAGCCTATTTTGGATTTATAATAAAGTTAGCTATTAAGTCTTAACGTTTAAACCTTCAAAGGAAATTATTGTTTTTCCTTGCATTTAGACCATTCATAAGCAGTAAAACTGATTCTAAAATATGCTTAAACTAAAACCTGCTGTTAACATAAAGATGGGTGTATATCACTTTAATGAGTATCCAGCTAGTCTCTTATACTGAAATTCCTCGATAAGTTGTTGTGCTTTTACTAGTAATTTGTTTGGCGAGAGAGCAGAAGCGAGCAGAAAATGGCGAAATTGAAGACAGTTAAATATAATATCGATCAGTAATCAAAAACAAATAAATCAATGAAAACGCAAAATAAAATTGCTTTTCTTAGAATCAATCTCCGCGGTCAAAATACATAGAAGAGCCACCTCTCCATCATTATTAATGCAGCGCTCTCTGCATACATCACCAGGCAACACGCCAATACATGCAACTAATGCATAATTATGTCTAATCCCAGGCAAAATATTCTCTAGGGAGCCATGGATGTTTAAATTGCTTAATCTCAATACAAGCTACATATCTCTCTACCACGCAATGACAACCACACGCCACTAACCAAAAAAGGGAGTTAAAGTATCGTATTTTTACAATTTTGGGTGTTTTCATTATATATATAATGGAGCCCTTAGTGCTTCTTATATATAATATTAAGTGATGTGCAGCACCCAATATATTAGAAAAATTTTGTTCAGTATTATTAGTCTTAATTAATTTGGTTGTAAATAAACATGCATAAACTTGCCAGTCTAATACATTTAGCAACATCTAAGCTTCGTCTTGATGATCTTATGTCGTATTTCAATAGCTTGTGAGGCACCCTTAATTGTTTGTATGTCTGTTATGTAATATGTTTCTACAGCTTGGCTGGTAATGAAAAATTAGAATACGAAAAATGCCACAGGAAAGTGAGAAAAATAAAATTAAAGGCTCCTAATAATAAATATGAACAGCCATTTTGGTTCACATTGCAGCCAGAAAATTATCGGAACACCTATCTCCAATTGTACCGTTACGTGTTCAGGCATAAATATGGTTGTGATGCTCAGACGATATGCGGATGAAAGTAAATTTATCCAAGGTTTTCAAGCCTGTCACTAATCACTCCTTTCGCAATCCGATTGTGGAAAATAGACAGAGTGGGCCCTACTAGCTGAAACGCTGAAGAGCCGCACCATATCGCTCGATCTCTCCTTTCCTCAGTGTGAAAACTTGCAGGCGCTTCTACTCACGCCTCACACACATCTACAACCACCAACTGATGCTTTTCGTAAGATTCTTATAATCTAGATTTTAATTATAATAGCATGGTCACGATCATGTTTAAATAAGTGCTTTTGTGTTTGCCATGTAAATCATAATCTTCTAAATAAAGCACCAAATAGCATGGTAAAATTAAAAAAAGACAAGTAAGGAAGGGATAAGTTCGGAGTACCGAACATTTTATACTCTGCAAAGTCAAATGGTATCTCGTTTGAAATTTCTTTGATGGATTGTGTATCTTTGTATGAAGGTCAACTATAGGTACTGGGTCTCACAATTCTGGTACCTAGGTTGAATCAGTTTTGGTTCGATTTAGAAATTTTGGTCCAGTGGATGGGATACTGTTAAACGTATTATTCAGCAAGTTTTACGCCGATATAGATCATTGTTGCTTGATTTGCATAGTGAAAGTGAACAGAATCAAGTGGTATTTAAAATGGTGTCATCATAGAAAATAGCGTGGTTGTAATCCGATTCGCCCATTTTCGGCACTATGACAAGAAACATAAAAGAACGTTACGACGCGCGAATTTGGTTGAAATCGAGTTAAGCAAGATCTCAAAGATATGGGTTTTCACCTAAAAGTGGGCTGTGCCAGCCACACTGTCTTGTGAACGCGGTTGCCTTAAGTCATTATACCATCTCAGAGATAAAAGTTAATGTCTCTGGCCTGTTTAGTGGCTTGATTTGTCGCGCTTTTAGTAGTTTTTAACATGGTACCGTTTATATGGGGAGTGGGCGAGTTATCGCCGCGATTTCACTATTTTTCACACCGTCGGGAGAAGTGCTAAAAACATTTGCTTCCAGTAGAATTTGTTATTATAGCATGGCAGTTTAGGAGATTCTCTAAACTATGATCCTGTGCTAGCCAAATAAACGTCTTGTATCCTTTGTGCGGAGCTAGTTATGGCAAGTTAAAAAGTC